GCATGATCGTCCATTTTATTTGTCCGTTTGATTTGCAATGTAACATAAAACAAAACAAAACAAAAACAATACAGTCATGTACTTTGGGTTCTCACAGCCTAGTATTCCCCTCTTTAAAGTCCTGCCTTACCACATCCCAATCCACGCATCCACTGAAAGTTCACTTTCATGGCCAACACTAAGATTGTCCTTACCCGGAGATATTCCAAGGCTCACTATTTTCTTCACTCCATTTATCCAGGTTATCATTTCTCCCTTTCCATCGTCATCATAACATTGGCCATGCCCGTTTGGCTTGCGATGTAAAATAAAAACAAAATACAATCAGCACATGCGCACACAAATGTATCTCCTGACAGCTTTATGCACACATAGGACTGAGTAACCGCTCGAGTCCTATACACTACATCATTGGAAGTTGGAACACACTGAATCTTGACAAGCCCCTTACATCAGGCTTTCCATGATAATAGTAGTCATTGCTATTCCCGGACTGGTACTGGTATTTGAATCGTAGCCCATGATCTTGGATGGTAATACACAGGTTGCTCTATTCATTATATTGAATCTCTTTCAAAGGCCCAAAAACATTATTTTACATTTCCCATGTTCAACTCCCTCTACTTTACAAAAATTATTATTTTGATATTTAAAAAGAAAGGACCAAAATGTTACCTGTTTTCCGTAGTTTGTATCCAACACTAACAGTTATAAGCAAAAATGTTGTAAGATGTTGTGTAGTCAGAAGGCGCAACAGCCAGTACAATACTGGCTGGTGTGATACTGACATTCAACGACCTGATGATAAGCTCTATCAAGTCTTGGATGCGCATACCAACCTTCTAAGTTATGAAATAACATAAGAGGAGGTGAGCGCACTCAAGAAGAAAACAAGCTAAACATCACGGCTAACTAAGAATGTTAGCTTCAACGAGATGGTGACGAAAGACGAAGGACCACGGCACAGGACGGCTGCGGCTCACTTCGAGATAAACTACGCATAACATGTAACATTTTTGTCCTTTCTCTTTAAATTTAATCATTGGCTCTCCATCCTAGTCTTATTTTGATATTCTTCAGATAATGCATACTTGTATATAGTGCGGCAGCATGTGCTTTGGCTCACGATTGCTTGGAATTGCATCTGCCATCTATAGATTAAATTATGAATGACCTGGCACAGTAGAATTTGCCTTCCGTCAACAATTGTACAAAATGATGTAATCCTATTCGGAAGCCATGAGCTGGTGAATTGCCTCATTGTGTGAACAGGTTGTGCAGGAACCATGTTCTTATAATTTAATACATGACACAATATGTCACGTGATTGTGCATAGCCAATCAATTGACCAAGAGGGCATTTCGTATTCCTTTCTATGAACTGGCTACTATTTTTGATAATTTTCTGAATCCATGCGGGGATAGTAGAATGGTCTAAGACCATGATTGAGAAACAGAGGGTACATGTGCCGGGTTCAAGTCCTGCTTGGAAGCGGAAGGATTTTTCCAGCCGTGCTGCAGCCTGCAACCCACAGTTAATTGGGAACTCATGGCCTGGCAAGAGGGAAGCATGGATGTAGCGAATATGATTTTCGGTCTTTCACTACTTTGTGGTGGGTCTGATCTACTCATCTTCCACCGCTTTATGAGCTGCATCTGCGCCTTGTTCCATTGAGGGTGGTGGCCAAGTCTCACGCGAAGCATGAAACATTTTTTCTTCTTTTCTGAATCCTGTATTTCCGACAAGTGGACGGAAATGTCAGCATTTAAAAACGTTTCTAGTCATAAGCTGTCGCAGCTGTCAAAGTAGTCTTGTGTGTGATACCACAAAGCGGGAAACATTGAAAACCATAAGTAAACTGATCAGCGTACGTTGACACCACCACCACCCCCATCATCACCATCGCGCTCTATGGCCGACCACACACATTTTCCACAACAACAAGAGGTTCCTTCGGAGTATTGAAATAGCCGAAACAGCTCTCAGAAGGAATTATAATTTATAATTCCTTCTGAGAGCTGTTTCGGTCACTGAGACTTCATCAGAGAAGGTTGAGTTGTTGAATGACTGGAAAGGAAATAACCGTGGTAGTGGTGTAGTGAATGTGCTTAGAATTTGTCATGGCCGATTGCGACAGGCAAGCGTAACTTCATCTTCTTTTTTAAAAGTGCTATCCCAAAAGACAGGCTGTATGCACCAAACCCTAGATAAGGCAAAGTTACAGATGAACGCAAGCGTAGCGGTTCCACTGAAGAAACGCCGGCCGAAAGCAGGGAGACACGTGAGAAATGAATTCTCGAGCAACATTTTAGGTTGCAAATATGGCATCTGGTGTGTTCTTTATCGTCGTTTCTATTCCTGACTTCTTCAGTCAGTTTTGAGTCTCACCGGTGTCCCTGCATCATATTATTGCTTTTTATAATTTGTTGCCGTGATGTAGTTGTTATGCCTACATGATGCCAAATAGCCATTGGGGATATACACCCAGTTTTTTCCTCACTACTGTGTCCGTCGGCGCGAGGGTTTTTTCCCCAGCTTGCTCGGTCCAGAAAAAATAATCTGACGGTCCCAAGTGGTTCTGCATCGTGGCCTATTTCTGCTATCCGCTTGCACACCTATTCCATTTGAGACACTCTGTTCTCAGTCCTTGCTTCCATACCTCACTCGTTATCCAGTTCACATCTGACCGCGTCCAACTACCCTTCACTTTGTGCGTTGTCGCTATAGCTGTCTATATCTCGGTGTGTCCCATATATGTGGAGCGAGAACACCATGGCAACAGCGGACAGCGGAACTACCGAAACTCTAATAAACTGCCTCCAAAATTTTGGGAGCAATACTCTCACTTCTGCAATCTGGCTCCAGCGGAAACAACGGGTTCTGATACATACAGACTTGTTACTACAAATTTGCATGTGTAAAATGCAAGTGCAAAAAAATTGCTTGAATATTTTCATTTTCCATAATCGATGTGGATGTACCGTACCATATGCAACACGGTCCACTTTCTATCATTGTTTCACCAAACTAGGAGCTTGCACTGTCCGCATGTCTGACCACACCTTTAAATAGTCCGAAGCTGACCTCGTGCATGTGTAACGGCGCCCTAGGTAGTAAGGGGCCGGTCACTATACGGGGAGCCACGTATGGCTAGCCGAAGTTGTACATGAAAGGTAAAACAACATTTCAAAATTTCATATGACTATACACTGCCCTGCATGTAGGGCAACCAATGCAATCTTACATGCACAGGCTTGCAATTAATGTCCACTGTCACCCCGGCAGTTAAACGTGGGATCAGTCCACAACTCAATTGAACCAACTCGGGCAAACGATTTGGAAGCCTGAGCAACACAATATCAGGCTGTCCAGCCGTCCTGCTTTGGACCGAAACATTTGTATACATTTCTAAGGGAGACAATTCAAGGTTGGACAGACTGCAATGTCTATAGCTCAAGGCTGGTACTTTGCACGGAAAAGTGGGTACGTCCCTGAATGGAACATTTGCGCAACGGGTGGCATGTTACTCGGTTGTCTCCTGGTCTCCATCAATGTTCACCACAATGTGCACCACAATGTTCACCAAAATCTGTTTCAAGAATGGACTTCGATGGAGAGCCAAGGATAAATTCATAGAAAAGAAAAAGAAACAAGGAACTACATGTTACACTAACACCACAAGTTACTAAACAATCAGCTCATGCGATAACATTGCACGACACTGACCGACGGTACTGACTTTCTACAACTAACTGGCTAACAGCTCTAGCACATCTTGGATGCGCACTTCAACAGCCATCCAACTTGGAAAGTTCTAAGTTATACTGGGGTACTAGCTGTGCTAGTACTCGTTAGCAACAATCCGAACTAGCAGTAGGGCTTTCCACAAATATTTCTGAATATTTTCTGAATTTTGGCGATTTTTTGATTTTTTGATTTTTTTATGAATTTTGAGTCCCTTTTGTTGAATTTTGCCATACATTACAGTCGATTACCCACTTGCATGGTTGGTTTTGGGTTTCCAGTAAGCTGTTGGATGCCATCGTCCCATCGACCTGTGTGGAGAAACCTTGGATCAAAAAATAATAATAATAATCACCGGAACTGGAAAGCAGATTGACAGAAGATTGACCACAACCATTTTTCTTCGGCCACCATTTTGCGTTACCATGGTGTTGCCATGGTGATACCCAGAAGTTTCGGTGGAACCAGAGTAATTGGCTAAATTTTTTTTTATTTTGCGATTTTTTTGAATTCTATCATTGAAATTTGCCTAATTTTTTTGAATTTTGAATTTCAATTTTGAGATTTTTTTCTTGAATTTTGTGGAAACCCTTAACTAGCAGACACACTGCACTGCATAGCTTTGTACTGCATTCAAGACTGACATCATGCGCTTTGTTTTGCTGCGTAATCACAAATGGCACCCAGTCCGTTTTGCTGAAAAGAAAAACAAATCTTGCCTGCCCTGTTGTACTCTTCCAGACAACGGATTGTGCTTGAGCAGTGTTTCTTGTGGACATTATTACAGTTAGCATAACTTGTAGTTCCTTGATCCTTTTTCTTTTCGACAATCTGTTTCTTTTCTGTTAAGACGGGGAATATCAGGTGGATGAAGGGGGGGGGGGGGGGGACCCTGTCACCACTCAGTATCACCTAACAAGGGTGACACATCTACATGACTGTATAGAGATTGAAAATCTATTTTCAAAATGTGCGAACACAACTCTCATCTTACTAGGTCATCATTCTCACTTCATGAACACGTAGGAGGCACATAAAAGCAGATCTAGTCCACACACACAAGTTACAGTTGTGGCCAAAGAAATCCGACTCGCGTGCCGAAAGCAGCGCCTAGGCTCACGCGGCTCCTACGGCTCTCACATACGTTTTTGGAACGTGCATGCTGTAATTGAACTGGAAACGTGGTGCAACTTATTTTTACTTGCAGGTTGGATATCTTTGGCCACAACTGTAGTCACAGAGCAAACGACCTTACCCAACAAGACCTGTAGCACACATCCATTTCTGACGCAAGCCTTTGTGCGGGACAAAGTTTCAAACTATCCGAATATGGCAACACACAGGACACAGACACAAACACACAAAGTATATATTTCACACAAAGTATATATTTAAGAAGAAGATTGCCTGATGAGTCCAGCGGGGACGAAATGTACGTCGCAATCGAGCTATGTCGTTGCTGTGTCATCATCTAAGTGCCATGCGCTACTTGATGTACCAGCCTGCTATGCCGGATACCGCCAGCCATGCATCGACCAGGCGCCAGGCGCGAACTGATGGTGGTGGTGGTGAGAAGGAGAGCTCTGTGCCAGAACTTTGCAGCCTACAAGAGAGTGTGTGTGGGCAGGCGTGTGTTTACCGCCATATTGCCAGGTGTGTCTTTACTAGGGTCCGGCGGATTCTGCCGGCAGAAAAATTTGCAGAATTCGGTACTTTTTCTGGTAAGTTTCATGCATGTTTGGTATGTGGATAAAAAATGGAGCAGAATTCGAGGAATTGCCCGCCATAAGGTTTGTATGGTTCTGCCGATTTCACTGCTTTTCGAGCAGAATCTGCCACCTTTTCGAGCAGAATCCGCCGGTCCCTAGTCTTTACCACCATTTTTATCAACCATAAGTTTGCATTATTCATAGAAGAAATCACATGGCCCGACAAACGAGTTATGAAGCAACTAACCACGACTGTAACACGGTTATAAGCAGTCAGAACGTGTAATAAACGGGCACAAAACTGACATCCTACTGAGACATTCAATGACCTGAGACCTACATGTAGCTCTCACACACCTCCAGTGCGCAAACCAACAGCCTTGAACCTTGAACCTTCCAAGGTGGAAGGCTGTTGGCTTGCGCACTGGAGCCTGGAGGTGTGTGAGAGCTAGGCCTCAGGTCGTTGAATGTCTCAGAAACATGTCAGTTGTGAGAATTCAGGTCGGCAGGAAAAGCGCGAGCTCCCACGTAGGGAGCAACACACAATTCCCCAAGTATCGCCGAAGTCCCACCAATCTCTTCTTCATAATAATAATTTCTGGTGATAACTGCTTACATTCCCATACATCTGTGGTGCACTGTAGTCTACTAATGTTTACACGACTGTTCCTCCAAATTTGAAGGGACTGTCGACATACGTGTATTGTGGACTGATCATGACAAGTCAAATAACAACCAAACCAGCTCCTCACCAAAGAGAAGTGGCTGACATTCTGACACGCTGCCATTACTTCAAAGACAGATAGTTGACATCGCCTGGGATACGCAGTGCTGCCAAATAATTTTCGCCCAAAATCGGACACCCTTCACCGCCAAGGCTGGCCATGGTGCGAATTTTTCTCCTCGGCAATTTTTTTACAGAGAATTCAAAATATCGCCTAAAACACAATGAAAAATCGCTCCGTTGCCATGGTAACCCCAGAGTTGTCATTTTGTAATGATGAGTGTGGTCGCACACTGACTCTGTACAGACTGTCAGTGTACATGCCGTCCAGCCTGATCCAGGTGTAGTATCCCTGCCCGACCAATACGGAAGCAGTACGGAACTAATACGGAGCTTGCCTGATGTATATTTAGTGTATCTCCGTATGTAAGCGTACGTCGTCTGCTGCATAAAAGCGGCTGCGCATTTCTGTTTTGATAAAGAGAAGATTAGATTAGATTGGATAGCAATGAAAGCTAACTCGAAGAATAAGGATTCAGCCTCTAGGTGAGCACCGGAGAGAAAGTTATTTATTTTGCCGCTTCTTCTTTCACGAACGATTATATCTCAGGTGTGTACCTGAAAGTAGAATAAAAGTAATTATTGTTGATTTCACCGCGCCTACCACTCGGCTACCTATTACATTGGTGGCAGCGGTGTAGTTTTAAATAAAACAACGTGATTCGACCCCAGACCCCCATGGCTCAACCCGCTGCAGCTCCCTGCGACGAATCAAGGGAGGGTATTCCCCAAGACCAGCAGCGTTTGATTTTCCCCGGCACGCAGTCGGAAGCAGGAGCCCACTCTTCACTTTGGTACTTCGCCTCCGTGGTGGAATGCAGATTTTCGTCAACACTCTTCCTGGCTAGACCATCACTCTTTACGTCACGCAAAGCGATGCTATCGACAATGTGAAGACCACGATTCAAGACGAGGAGGGAGGTCATTTGTCTGACGCCGAGCTAGCCGCTCTGAGTGACCGGCTCAACCAAGATGAAGATAAAACGTGGCTTGCTCTCCGCCGTAGCTCCAGCCGCCGCCGTGGTTACTAACGCTGATTCCAGGTATGGCATTTTCTTTCCTGTCTTCCTTCAGTCTCCCTGTTCTCTTCAGTCTTCCTTTATGCGAGTGTGTGAATCCAGTTTAGTTTGGTAGGCGTCTGATCATGGTGAGCCACGGCTTACCCGGCTAACGTGGGACAATGTGTGTGACAACGCCCCTTATAGGTATAGTGTATTCAGTTCGGTTTTTGACCTGCGATGTTCCTGGCGGGTTGTGCCAGCGTTGTGCAGCAAGAGTGCTGTGGATTTTCAGGTCCAATTTGGAGAACAGTTCTTTCCCCTTTTGACCCCGTGAGATCGTGTGAACCTGGTGTGCTTCTACTTTATGATTTGTTATCAGTTCATTTCTTCTGTCTACTCTAAACGTTATCATTTCCGATATAATTTGCCATCTTCCGGTTGACGCTGTGTTCGTAACTCTTCACTAATTTTTTGAAAACCACGAGGGCGTGATAATCTGTAGGAAGGGAGGGTGTAGTATCCCTGCCCGACCAATACGGAAGCAGTACGGAACTAATACGGAGCTTGCCTGATGTATATTTAGTGTATCTCCGTATGTAAGCGTACGTCGTCTGCTGCATAAAAGCGGCTGCGCATTTCTGTTTTGATAACGAGAAGATTAGATTAGATTGGATAGCAATGAAAGCTAACTCGAAGAATAAGGATTCAGCCTCTAGGTGAGCACCGGAGAGAAAGTTATTTATTTTGCCGCTTCTTCTTTCACGAACGATTATATCTCAGGTGTGTACCTGAAAGTAGAATAAAAGTAATTATTGTTAATTGCACCGCGCCTACCACTCGGCTAGTATTACACAGGCATGTTACTTTGCACTTCCACAGCCAAGCTATAGCCTTTTCAGAAGCAAATGTACAGTGATGTGTGCCTTCAGTTGCGCTGAAAAGTGAAATTACAGGACTTCTGCATAGAAAAGTAATGATCTTCGACATTTTGGCTGCTTTTCGGACGTTTCCCTTTTTTTTTCGGACCGGTTTTCGGAAGAGCCTTCAAAAATCGGACAGTCCGAAAAATCGGACGGTTTGGCAGCACTGGATACGGGAACGCCACACTGCTACAAACATACAATGACTACGTAGATCTACCAGTACCAAGTCCACGCCTTGATCCACGTAGACGTGGAAGGGCATCCCCTTCAACATCCCCAGATTCTTGTCCGCGCTTGTGCTGCTGCGGTTCGTGGCAGAAACAGCCTCACAATCAGAGTCACGTAGACATCGTCATGGTCATAGTCATACTAGGCGACCTCGAAACCTTCACGTACACTGTTCCATACAGGTACGGTCGATCTCACTCTCAGTCTTTCTATCGCTCAAGCAGCGAAATTTTATAGACGCGGAAAAAAGGTTTCCAATCTTCACATCGCATTGGAATCATTGGATCGCAACCTATTCTTTCCTTCGCCCGACCGTTCACAATGTTCAGGTCTTCTAGCGCGTGCGTCCAGTGCGAAGCTGAAAAGCCAGACACTGGGCGTTTGCTTCGCTGCCTGCACGTCCTATGCGATGGGTGCTTGAAGGACAGCGTCAATCCACAAACGGCCAGCATCCATTGTGTATTGTGCAGCAAAGAAACAAAATTGACCGATGGCGGAGCTGCTGCGGGGAGTGCTCGCAACCCAGCGTGGCAAACATTGCCACCTTCCGCTGGTACTTTGTACACCGCCAACACTACTGAAGGTGGGTCGAACCCGCTTTCAGACGACGTGCAAGCTAAATGTCCCGCTCACGCTGGCCAGGTGTTGTCGCTGTATTGTGAAACCTGTAGTGCTCTTGTATGCGGGTTGTGCTGTGCTCCGCACATACGCGATGGACATAGCATTGTTCCTGCTATGGACATTGTCCAGAAGCAGAGGCAAGAAATTCTCCAAGTCGTGAAAGAAGTCAGCAGTGTTCCAGGCTTGTCTGGCCTGGCCGGTTTGGACGACAGACTAGCAGACCTCAGTGCTGCAGTGGATCAAGTTGACGAGCAGGCTACTGATGCCTCTAAGAAAGTGGAAGCGTTTTACAACGATCTGATCAAAGCCTTGGAGAACGACAAACAACGTGTCAAGGATGAGATCGACCAGATCAGGTGGAAAAAGCGAAAGCAGTTGGAGTCAGAGCGAAGCCGCCTGCATTCAAAGAGACAGACAATCGACACCATCAAGGTGCTTGGTGAACGCCTTGCTGAAGGCTGTTCTGATGCTTCGCCCAGAGAAACAGTGTCAGCAATGGACCAGCATGTCTTATCCCTTCACAGCAGCATTCTGGACGCTACGAGTAGCATGACGTCAGAAGACCTGGCCACACCAGTGATGCATACCACTGGAAAGCTAGGTGTGACCATTGCTGAGGATGCTGTGGAGAATGCTGTCAAAATGGTTAAGTCACAAACAACCGTATTCTCAACCAGAGTGGATGTGGAGAGCACGGTGCCATACATTATCAAGTCAACACCAGATGGAGGTAATTTCTTCCAGTTTCCACTCGAAGGCTTTGACAAACTACCACTGCACGTTGATACTGTACCGGATGATATCCATATAGCCATGGTACATCCTGACAATCGCATGGAGAAAATGCAGCTAACAATGTCCCGTAGCGACGATGATAAACCAGTATGTGAGACTCAATCGATCAAAATTGGATTAGGTGGTTATCCTCTTCATATATTATCAGCTGAAAAGACGTTGTACGCGTGTTGTACGAGCTACCATTTCCAGGAATTCAACCGTAACTTATGCTCAACATCACTATCAGTTCCTGAGGACAGCTACACTGTCACTGCTAC